GAGGAGTAGTGTCCCATAACTCAACATGTCCAAGTCAGCTGCCAGAGGTGGAATAGCGCTGTCAGACGAAGACACAAGGCAGCAACTTAAAAAGATGAAGGTAGGCTGACGATCAGAGGGAGAAGGATGTTACGACGGTCTGCTTCAAGATAGACCTCTGCCCAATGGAGACGGCAAGCGATACGAATATCTCGCTTTCGTTCGTGAGATTACCTTGTAAGTCTTGCAATGCTCGCATTGCCAGGCGAGACTGGAAGGCAAGCTTCCCCGTCAATCATTGGTTACATTAGTACGCTTACAGGATTCATCACTCAAGCTTCTTACCCGCGCGGAAATTTCTCTCACTGCTCCACCGATCTCAAGCTTAAACAGACCTGCTCTCGACCCTTTTAGGTAACCTTTCTAGTATTGTGGTATATATCTGACAAATTATGGCGTCTGCCTACCGCTTACGGCATGATGTGCGTTGGCCTGTACGCCCTATAGATGTACCATATCATATAATCTATACAATCTTCACCCTCAACCCGTCAAATATGCACATGAATATCGCTAGTACAGATGATTCGATGCTCAATCTCTGGCCCTTCCTCATAAAGCGTCACCAGCCAGAGACCACTTGAAGATCCGAGGTAGCAAAATACGACTCCGAGATCACCACAGAGCTCGGTCTCTGCCTTCAAATCCGAAGTTGACTGCCACAGCCACGAAGAGTGCAGCGCATAGGATACTAGGACCCCAGCGGTCATAGTACTTAGCCGCGCGCCGAGTGCGAATGGCTCTACTCCTATAGAGATAGATGAAAACGGAGTAGGAGAGACTGAGAATTGCCAGCAGGGTAAATACGCCTGAGACGATGAACGAGGTTCTGGTTGGCTTCGAGCCGAAGTTCAATACTGTCGCCGCGATGGTCCCAATATAAATGGAAAATTCGAGCTGAAAGAATGGTTAATCTTCCTGACGAAAAGACATAGTCTGCGGGATGTACTTACCCAGGAGAGGAACGTTCGCTCGGCCGCGAAGTAGACCTTGGGCTCGACGCGTACAGGGACATAGATCTTCTTCCCCTTGGGCGCCTTGAACTTCTTGGTCTGTAGGCTCTGTGTGCCAAACAGGGCCAATGTTCTCTCATGTGGAGGAATGTATGATCCTCCAGGATGCGCAGTGAAGATACGAGCGACAGCGTTGAAGAGACCACGACCGGCAGCCTTTGCCTGCGTTGACGCAAGAGTGTGGTAATATGTCGCGCCGCCAATCCTCCTAGCTTCCTCCAGTCTCTCATCATCATCGTCTTCAGACTCGTATAAGGGATATGCATCATTACCAGCATTCTCACTCGTTTGCTCCTCGGGATCGGCTACAACTACGGGGAGGCTCCCTTGGGCAGCGCCAACGCGTAACGCAGCAGCAGCACCTTGGGCGGCTGATTCTCCCCTCGAAGACCCATTATTCGACAAACCCCTGCTATCCTCTTCGTCCGAGTCATAATCATCGTCCTCGTCTTCTGAAGTGCTCGTTGTTGCAGAATGCCCGGGGCGTTGAATACCAAAGTTGTGGGAGACTGGCTTGCGAATATCAACATCCATTTGAGGCATCCAGAATGGAAGTAGCTTGATACGCTCGGGGAAGAGGCATGCGACTCCGTGAATGAACTTGGAGAATTTGGGCACGGCCTCGACGAGATGGCTTGAGATCAGCTGCCGAACCCATTCCGGGGGCTCTTGGCCAGCTTGCGTCTGCAGCTTGACCTCGAGAACGGCATATGGAAATCGCTCAACGTCCTCGGGCGGCAGCTGTGAAAAGGGGAAGTCGATGCCAATATCCGTGCGTCGCCAGTTGTCGCCTGAACGTTTCTTCCCATCCAAATTATCCTCGCGTACCATCGTTAGCTCAGTGTCCAGAGAGATACGAACTCGAGCGTCTCCAGGGAGCTGGAACGCAGTACGATTGTAGAAAGACCTGCAAACAGGCCTATATCCTTTCTTCAGAATGGACCATTGGATCTCCTGGGCCAATCGTTCGTCCTCGTCAATCGCAGCCTTAGATTTCTTGCCCTCCTTTCGTGCCTTCTCAAAGACTGCGGCGGGGAGGAGGTCTCCTTTCATATAAGAATTCACGTTCTTCTCCTTGAGGGAGAATCGAGCCTTGACAGATTTCTCACCTGTCCAATCCTCTCGATGCGTTTTCCGTTCGACGAATATGGTTTCGGTGGACATGCCGCCATACCATCGCAGACGAATCGCCTCAGCACCTTCAGTCTTCTTTAGTCGACCCTCATAAAGGTCCCAGGTGTCAGGATTGTCATAGTAGATCGATGTAATAGCTGAATCTGCGGCTTCGAACTCCTTGCTGGCATTGAAAACTAATACCGGCAAGTGCTTCAAGATGATGAGCTTCAATTCGGTTACATTGTCCGGGTGAACCCAGTATTTAGTAGTGTGTCGGATGAAACTGGCTTGACTTCCCCCAGCAGAACTATCGCCCTTTACAGGATTGCCTCTTGTGCGAACTAGGTCGTAGAGTTTAGACAATTTGACCACCGAGGCGTCATAGTTCTCCTTATAAAAAGGCTTCGCTTTCATTCGAGTCTCGAACACTGGACGTAGGTGCCAATTGGTCATTTTCTAGGTTCTAATCAGTATGTAGGTCTCATAAGCCATGTGACTCGCACTCACATCATGTTTCTTGATAATTTTGTAGAACCCGGTGTAATTGACCTGGACGAATTTGGCCAGGTCATGTACATCAGCAATGATGTCGCTTAGGTCCTCTTCCAGCAACATGAACTCCTCGTCGCTTGGGCCGTCTTCGCCAGGTCTGCGCTCGTTCAATCTGTCGACGACATCCTTGACCTCGCGCTCGCTGACCTGTATTCTTCTGGAGATCTCAATGGCTTTGATCTGCTGCTTCTGGTGGACCTTGTCGAGCTCAGCCTCGAGCTTGCTGACGAATTGGCCCTCGTCCTCCTCGGTCCATTCCCTCTTGGCCTTCGCCTTTCCCTTCTTCCTCGAGCCCTCGTGCTGGGTGTCGGCGGGCTCAACGACGGGGCCACTGGCCGCCTTGAGGCTATTCTTCAGGCCATCGTAGTCGATGTAGTACCACTGGTACTCGCGGATGATGCTGGAGCGCAGCTGCTCGCCGAACTTCATGACGATGGTACCGGGGCTGGCGCGCCAGCCAGAAGGACCGAGTAGTTCTCGATGGGATTGCCAGGTCCTTTTGCGTGTCTTGAGATCTTCAATAATTAGCATGGGGAGATACAAGAGACATCGTATTATGTAGGGGAAGGCAGGCAGAGCGGGATTTAAGATCCGACGGGCCAATGACACAAGATCTGAGGCTCTAGAAAGCTTGATTGGGGGTCAATTGGCTTACCTGCAGACTAGAAAGTCGAGAGAATAGGACGAGATAAATAGGTCGTGCCAGTCGCCCGCCGGTACTAGATGGGGCGGCAATGGACTCCTTTCAGCGTGTGTCTTACGTACAGTCGGCAAGAATCTGCACGCGCGGTATACAAGTACAGACAAGCAGGCCCAAAAGGTATATAAGCGAGCAATGGGGGTTACTGCGTAAGGTGACGATGGTTGGCGGGTTGAAGCTGCTGGAGGCGCAGATCTGGCTGGCAATGGAGCACGTGCGTGACCAAGGAGAGGGAGCTCTGGGCAAGATCGATGCGCTGCCGTCACCCACGTTTCTCAAAACCTTATCGCCATTGGACAATTGGGCCCAGGCGAGCCAGGCTACTCTAGCAGAGCAGGGGAGCGGTTTTAGCGGTTGACGCGGGGCAGCCTTAGACCCTTAGTGCACTATAGCAGAGTACCTTAATTCGGAATCCTGCCGCACTGCATTTTTTTTTTCACCCGGAGAACTTAGGTAGTTGTAGTAGCTTAGCAGCCCTTCCGCCCCACCACCACCCACCACCACAGAAGGTGAAGTGTGTTGTGTAGCTGAACGGCACGAAATAATACAAGCATTATCACCATACCTGGGTACATAGAATACCTACCATAGGTATACTCGGGCAAGGGGACCATCCATCCCACAAGAGGCTCTTTGCCTCGCTACAACAATGGCGTCCCACAGCCACAGCGCAGCCGACGACGTCCAATCGCGCATCTCCCCCACGTGCCCCTCCTCGACGTCCGAGATCCTGTCCCACGCCTGGCACCACGACGTCGCGGGGCTCAAGAAGCTGCTCGACGTGCCCGGCAAGGCGAGCTGCCAGGACCCGGTCACCGGTGAGACGCCCCTGCACGCGGCCATCCGCTCCTGTGGGCCCTTCAGCCCGGCCTCGTCCTCCACGCCCGCCACCACCACCGTCATCGCCTCCTCGGGCGCCACCGGCGGCCACGAGGTCAACGTCGAGGACGCAAAGGCCGCCGTCCACGAGCTCTTCCTGTCCGGCGCCATCTGGAACGACGTCGACGACCACAATGAGACCCCCGGCTGCGTGGCGTGGCGGCTAGGTCGCACTGAGCTGTACAACCTGTGCGTGGAGGCGGGCGTGCGCGCAGAACTGCTGTTCGGTTTGCTAGATGGGTATGAGGAGCTTTCGTCAGGCTCAGAAGAGGACGACGAGGGCATGGAAGAGGAGGAAACTCAGGAGAATGGCCACGAAGCAGAGGCGGAAACAGAAGTAGAAGAGAATGGCGAAACAAATGACGCCGAGGCAACAGAGCCCACTTTCCAAGCTCCCAAGACTGATGCCGAGCAAGAAGTCAAGAGCGAAACGTACCTCCGGTCGAAACTCACCTACTCCGACGGAAAGCTAGTGGACGATGACGGAAACGGCGTCATGATGGCCTGGGAGACGGAGATCATGCGGCAAAGCGTCGATGCTCTACTACCTAACAAGGAGGAAGGCAAGCGGATCCTGAACATTGGGTTCGGAATGGGCATAATCGACAGCATGTTCGCCGAGACTAAGCCAGCCCGTCATCACATCATCGAAGCACACGAGGAGGTACTTGAGCACGTCTCCAACCCCGAGTCCAAGTTCGGTTCGACTTGGGAAGAGAGTGCGCCGGAGCGAGGAGCTTACAAGATTCACCAGGGTCGGTGGCAAGACATTGTTCCGCAGCTATTGGAGAGGGGTGAGATATACGATGCCATATACTTTGACACATTTGGCGAAGACTATGGTCAGTTGAAGATGTTCTTCACTGAGTATGTGCCTGGCTTGCTAGACCAGTACGGCATCTTCGGCTTCTTCAATGGCCTAGGAGCTGATAGACGGATCTGCTATGATGTGTACACCAAGGTAGTGGAGATGCATCTCACTGATGCCGGACTTGATGTTGACTGGAAGGATATCGATGTGGATCTGAAAGGTTTGGAGGAGGCAGGCAAAGGCGAATGGGAAGGGGTGAAGCGAAGGTATTGGACACTCGACAGTAAGCTAAGTCCCCTCGGAACACTCTATGCTCGACCTAACTTGATTTTCTTTTAGAATACAGACTACCAGTGTGTACATTCCTCGGCTAGGGAAAAGACCTATCTAATCGAGGTTCTCACTTCATACAACATACTCGCCCGACTCCAGCCAGCAACCGCATAGCCATTTAGCCCAGATCTTCCCGTTCGTAATTCCAGAAGCATGGTGCGAGGTCGTGATGCCAAATCAGTTATCATGGTGACTTGCGGATCAGACGAAGTTCTCGGGGTGCAGAATTCCGGCCATGTTGCCCTCCTTAACGCGCTTTAGTGTCAAGGCCGCAATAAGGGCTGCACCAACACCGCTTCCATCCTCGGCGGCAAGAATCTCCACGGGGTCTTCCTCCTTCTTGCTCTTCTTCTCCGGCCAATCCAGGATCTCGCGCAGGGCCACCGCACCGCGTGCCTTGAAGTGGGGATACTTGTTGAAGACGGAACCGTCGGCGCCAACATGGGCGGACTCGTATCCCTTCTTCTTGCAGATAGCAGCGACACCACAGGCAGACAGGCGGGCCGCTCGCGTGCCAATCAACTCGGCAGTTCGGCGAATGAGCTCTAGCTCGGGTAGGTTGGGACGGAGGTTCAGCTTGTCCAGGAAGAGGTCGAAGGTCTCCTGTAAGTTCTCGAACGGATCACTGCATTAAATAAGTACATAGACTTGGAGGCAGAATGAAGAAAGCACAAAATAAAGCAGTACTTACTCTTCAATGGCCGAGAGGAAGGAGGAATCGAGCGTGTAGGCCTTGCGGAGCTTGGCGATATCTTGACCCTGGAAGATGCTAACTTCATGATTGTCATGAAGATCAACCATGACCAGGCGGAAAATCTCGCCGAGGTACAGACCCGCAATCATCTTCTCGAAGGCCTGCTGGCCCGGCCGAGGAGAATCCTTATCAATGATGATATCATATTTGGTCCTCGGTAGAACCTTGTGCTCGTTGTCGAATGCACCCCACTCACAGTTGATAGCCATCGGGCAGTCAGGGGGCAGGTTCATGTGGGCAAGCTTGGGAATTGAACCGCAGTTCTCCATATATGCTGCATTGCATCCCGTTCCGAAGATACATCCAATCTTCATCTTGGTGTCAGTGTAGGCCGAGGCGATAAGGGTACCAGTTGTATCGTTGATCAACGCGGTAAGCTTGATAGGCACGCCCTAGGGAGAATTAGCATGTGACAGGTCACTTCTCTTCAGGTTCCGGGAAGCCTTACACGCTGGGCCAGGGCGGCCTCGAACATGGGGACCACGTTCTGCCCCTCCACTCCGTCGATGTCAAAGCCCTTGGTCCAGCGCTGAAGAATACCCTCATCGATGTAGTTCTGAGTGGCTGGGTATGAGAAGGTGAAACCTAGAGGGAGCGTCTCCATCTTCTGGTCTTCGCCGTGGTGAGTCTCGATGAACTGCTGCAGACAGTCGGCAATGTACTCCCAAAGCTCATCGGCATCACCAGTCTTCAGCTCCTCAGGCATTCTGTACTTGGACTGGATGATATCGAACT